CCTTATACCCATCACAAAAATTAACTCAAAATGGAACACAGAACAAAATGTAAAATGCAAAACTATATAACTCCCAGAAAGTAACTTAGGAAATATAAATGACCTTGGGTTTGGCAATGACTTTTTACTTGCAACACCAAAGGCATAATGCATGAAAGAAAGAATCAATAATCTGGACTTCATTAAAATTAAAATATTCTGCTTTGTGAAAGACACTGTGGGGAGAATGAAAAGACAAGCCATAAACTGCAGGAAAATATTTGCAATAGAGATGTCAGACAAGGGACTGTAATCTAAAATATACAAAGAACTCTTAAAATTCAACAATAAGAACATAAATAATCCAATTAAAAGACGGGCCAAAGACTTTAACAGATACCTCACCAAAGAAGATATACAGATGGCAAATAAACATATGAAAAGATGTTTCACACCATATGTCATGATGAAAATGAAAATGAAACTGAGAAACCCCTCCATACCTATTAGCATGGCCAAAATCCAGAACACTGACAACACCAAATGCTGGTGAGGATGTGGAACAAGAACTCTTATTCATTGCTGGTGGAATGCAAAATCATAAAATCACTTTGGAAGACAGTTTAGTGGTTTCTTAGAAAACTAAACATACTCTTAGAATATGATCCAGGAATTGGGCTTCTTGGTATTTAGCCAAAGGAGTTGAAAATTCATGCCCACACAAAATCCTACACATGGATGTTTATAGCAGTTTCATTCATAATAGCTGAAACTTGGAAGCAACCAAAATGTCCATTAGGAGATGGATATATTAGGAGTGGATATATAAGCTGTGGTAAATCTAAACAATGGAATATTATTCAGCACTAAAATTAAATGAGTTATAAATTCATGAAAAAAAAACTTGGAGGAACCTTAAATGTATACTACTAAGTGAAAGAAGCCAATCTGAAAAGGCTACATACTATACAATCCCAATTATTTAACAGGTGGGAAAAGGTAAATATGGAGCCCGTATAAAGATCAGAGTTTGCCAAGGGTTAGAGATGGGGAGGGAAGAATAGGAAGAGCACTTGAGACTTATAAGGCAGTGAATTAGACTGTATGATACAATAATGGTGAATACATATCATCAGGCATTTATCCATACCCACCGAATATTCAATACCCAGAGCAAACCCTAATTTAAACCATAAGCTCTGAGTGATAATGTTGTATCAATATAAGTGCATCAACTACAACAAATGTACCAGGTCGCAAGGGATTTTGATAATGGGGGAGCCTAAACATGTGTGGAGGCATAGTGTATATGAAAAAAATCTCTGTAACTTTACTCAATTTTTTCTGTGAACATAAAAGAGATCTAAAAAATATTGAGTCCATTAAAAATCCACCAATCTTATTCACTTTCTTAATAAAGATAAAAAATCATATTCACATCTCAATAAAGAATCATTAACTAAAATTAAAAATAAAGACATTTAAACTTACGGAAGTCAGAAAGTAATTTAAAAATGATAGTAACCTATCAATAATTATTTAAATATAAATGGCCTAGATTTGTCCATCAAAATATATAGGGTGCCTAAATGGATTAAAAAACAAAATAAACAATGTCTAACTATGTGCTGGCAACAAGATTTATCTCTAGAAACATACAGATTTAAAGTGAAAAGACAGAAAAAAATCTCTTGGCAAATGGAAAACAAAAGAGTATGGGATTTTATACTTACACTGACTGAAATAAACGTTAAACTACTACAAGAAAGAAAAAATGGGTCATTTTATAATGATAAAAGGGTCAGTTCATTAGGATAAAATATTTTAAGTATATAAACGCCCAATATTGAAGTAAACAAATATATAAAGCAAATATTAACTTAACTGAACTGAGAAACAGACAGCAATATGACAATCGCTCTGACTTCAATGCTTCTTTTCCCACAATGGACAGATTATCCAGACAGAAAATCAATAGGGAAACATTGGACTTGACCTGCACATTGGAACAAACAAACCCAACAGACATATATATATAGAGCATTCCACCCCAAAGCAGCAGATTTCTTTTCAAGTGCACATGATGCATCCTCCTATGCAGATCATATGTGAGAACACATAACAAGGCATGACAAATTTAAGAAGATTCAAATAATATCAAATACTTTCCTGAAACAAAAATGGAAAACAAAACTAGAGACCAGTAATAGGAGGACACATGAAAAATTCACAGATAAGTAGAAATTAAATAGCATGCTCCAAAACAACCAAAGGGTCAAAGAAACTATGAAAAGGGGAAAAAAATATCTTGAGACAAATGGAAATGGAAACACAACATACCAAGTCTCACAGGATACAATAAAAGTCAGTCTAAGAGATAAGTTTATAGCCATAAATGCCTGTGTTAAGATAGAAGAGCTCAAATAAATAACCTGTTGTACTTCAAGAAACTAGAATGTTAAGATCAAAATAAACACAACATTAATAGAAGGAAGAGCAGGACAAAGTTCAGAGTAGTGATACATAAAAAAGATTAAAAAAAACAAAGAAAGAAAGGAAGGAAGGAAGGAAGGAAGGAAGGAAGGAAGGAAGGAAGGAAAAGAAAGAAAAGAAAAGAAAAGGGTCAACAAAACCAAGAGTTGCTTTTATGAAAAGATAGTCAAGATTGACAACACTTTATCTATACTAAAAAAGAAAGAAGAGGGAAGATATATATATATGTATGTATATATTTACATGTGTGTGTGTATATATATATAATGTGTGTGTGTGTGTGTGTGTGTTAGTCTCATTTAAAAACATATATACACACAAACACTTTCCAAGAAATACAAGGAATTATAAGAAGTCATTATAAACAATTATATTAAAAAAATATAGAAAACCTAAAAGAAATAGATAAATTATTAGATACAACCCATTAACAGTGAATCATGTGCAAATAGAAAATCTGAAAAAACCAACAATGAGTATGAATATTAATGAATAATAAAACATTTCCTGTCAAAGAAAAGCCAGAACCTGATGGCTTCATGGCTGAATTCTACCAAATATTTCAAAAAGAATTAACACCAATCCTTCTCAAACTCCTCCAAAAAACTAAAGAGGACGGAACTCTTCCAAACTCAGATTATGCAGATACCAAAGCCAAGTAAATAAAACATAAGAAAAATACAGGGCAGTATCCCTAATAAACATGAATGTAAAAATCCCAACAAATTGTTAGTGAACTGAATTCAATAGCACATTAAATATATCACCCATTATCAAGTGAGATTTATCCCTGAATGCAAATATGCTTGATACATGGAAATCAGTAAATGATATACCACATTAACATAATGAATTATAGAAATCATATGATTATCTCTATAGAAGCAGAAAAGCATTTGACAAAATTCGACATTATTAGGTATATAAAAAAATGTGCCTCAACATTTTAAAGATCATATGTGGAGCCAGGCATGTTCATGCACCCCTGTAATCCCCAGCAGCTTAGGAGGTTGAGGCAAGAGGATTGCAAGTTCATAGCCAGCCTTAGCAACTCAGCGAGGCCCTAAGTAATTTAGGGAGATCCTGTCTCAAAAAAAAAAAAATGTAAAAAGAGCTGGGGATGTGGATTGGTGGTTGAGCACCCCTGGGTTCAATTCCTGATTACAAACAAACAAACAAAAAGACTATATGTGACAAACTCATATCACTCTAAATGGTGAAAAGTTGAAAGGTTTTCTCTTAAATCAGGAACAAAATTAGAATGCTTATGTACATCACTTCTATTTAACACAGTAGTAGGAGCCATAATAATATTAATTAGGCAAGAAAAAGAAATCAGAAAAGAAGTTGTCTCTGTTTGCTGACAATATAATTATATACGTAATTGTGCATATATAATATATAATAAATTACATATTTAATATATGTACATAGTATATGTAATATAGTTTATTATATATAAAATATGTGTGTATATATATGTGTGTGTGTGTATATATATATATATATATATATACATATATATATATATATATATATATAGTGTGTGTGTGTATGTGTATACACATTCTGAAGACTCCACTAAAGAATTTTTAGTATTAATAAACAAGTTCAGTTCAGAAAGTTTACAGGATGCAATATCAACATGTAAAAATTAGTATTGTCTCTATAAACTAATAGCAAACTATCAAAAAATTAAGATAATAATTCTGCTTAAAAAATTTTCAGAAAGGGTAAAATAATTACGTAAGTTTAACCAAGGAAGTGCAAGACTTGTATGCTGAAAATCATAAAACACTGATGAGAGAAATTGAACACAATAAAAATAAATGGAAAGATACTCCATGTTTATGAACTAGAAAACTCTTTAACAATTTTATACAGATGATTCTCTACTTATGATGGTTTGATATATATATATATTTAATTTACAACAATGCAAAAGAGGGTATACATTCATTCAAAGTCATACTTTGAGTTTCAAATTTTTATTTTTTTCCCCAGGCTAGCTCAACACAGTATGATACACTCTCACAATGCTGGACAATGGCAGCAAGCTACCACTGCCAGTATACCACATGATTAGAAGGTTAAGCAATGGATATTTTACAATGTACTATGTTGCTAAGCTATAACATTTGATAGTTTATACGTATTAAATGCATTTCAGCTTATAATATTTTTCAATTATGGTTTATTGGGATATAACTCCATTGTAACTTCAGAAATATTTGTATTGTTTAAAATGTTCACACCACTGAAAGTAGTCTACAGATTCAATGTTATCTATATCAAATTTCCACTTGTATTTTTCATAGAAATAGAAATAATTCTAAAATTTTTATGAGCCACAAAGATCCCAAATAGTCAAAGTAATCTATAGCAATAAATAAATAAATAAATAAAAATAAAACTGAGATCATCACATTTCTTGATTTTAGACTATATTACAAAATTATAGCAATCAAAAACATATAATACTGCCATAAAAATAGACATGCACACCAAAGGAATAGGGTCCCCAGAAACAAAATTCCACATATTTATTTCAATTTATCTTTGAAAGTGATGTCAAGAACATAGGAAGGGGAAAGAGCAGTCTCTTTAATTAGTGGTTCTAGTTAAGAGTGAAGCTTAGTGGTAGAGTTCTTGCCAGTATGCTTGGGTTCTTGAGTTCCATTCTCAGCACTGCTGGAAAGAAAGATGGGGGAGAGGAGGGAGGGAAGAAGGAGAGGGGAAGGAGAGGGATAGGGAGGGAGGGAGGAAGGAAGAAAGAGACAGAAAACAAAATGAGAAATGATACTGAGACAACTGGATAGTCATAGGCAATTGGAAAAAATTGGACCCTTATCTCAAATCGTATACAAAAAGTCAGTTCAAAATGAATTAAAGACATATAAATGTAAGACCTGAAATTATTAAAAAAAAAAAACTACTGCAGAAAACAGGGGAAAGTCTTCTTGATATTGATCTGGGGAATAGTTTTTTTTAGTATGATTCCCCAAAACACAGGAAACAAAAGCAAAAATTGACAAATTACACTAAAACAAAAACCTTCTGCTACAGCAAAGGAAATAACAGAGTAAAGAGACAACCGATGGAATGAGAAAATATTTTCAAACCATCCATTTCGTTAATATTTAAAATATATAAGGAACTCAAATAACTCAATAACAAGAAATAATTTGTTTAAAAAAATGGGCTGAAGACCTGAATAGACATTTCCTAAAAGAAGGTCTATAAATGGCCAACAGATATAAGAAAAGGTGTTCAACATCACTAATTATCAAGAAAATGGAAATCAAAACCTCAATGAGATATCACCTCACATCTGTCATTGAAATGATAAAATGATAAGTGTTGGCAAGGATGTTGAGAAAAATGGAAAACCTTGATAGGAATGTAAATTGCTGCAGACATTATGGAAAACAATATGGAGGTTCCTCAAAAAATTAAGAATAGAACTGCTATATATACAGCAATCTCACTTTTGGAAATAAATCTAAAAGAAGTCAAATCAATATGTCAAAATGTTAAGTGTACTCTTATGTCCATTCCAGCATCATTTACCACAATCTAGATATAGATTCAACCTAAATATCCATCAGCAGATGAACAAATAGAGAAAATGCACACTGTATGTGCATTCAATGGAATGTTACTCATCTTTTAAAACAAAAGGAAATTGAGTCATTTGTGACAACATGGATGAAACTGGAGAATAATGCAAAGCAAAATAAGTCTGGTGCAGAAAGTAATACTGCATGAAATCACTCACTTGTGGAATCCATAAAAAGCTATCGAGTCATGGAGCAGAATGGGCATGGGAAATAAGAATAATTGGCTCAAGTGTGCATGATCTCAGTCACACAGGATGTATAATGCATATATTCTGGCTATATAGCAAGGTGACATAGTTAATGTATAGTATGCTTGAAAATTGCCATGAGAGTGTATCTTAAATATTGTCATCATCAAAATTGGTAAGTATGTGAGGTTATAGATATGTTAATTATCTTGATCTAATTATTTTACAATCTAGAAAATATTTTAAAAAATCACATTAGGTATTGTATTTATATGTGGCTTTTATTTGTTAACTAATAAAGCAAGGCGAAAAACTATTAAACATAGTAAATAAATTTTATAAAGTTTCAGTCACTATAACAAGGTAAAAGAAAAAAATAATTGTATAAACATTGGAGGAAAGCATAAAACTGCTATTATTTATTAACAACATGGTATATATACATAAAAATAAAAATAAATTAATTTAAATATAAATTATTAATATTTTCATAATCACTCAATTTTCTGTTACTCAATATTAATATTCAGTTTAATAATTAATATTGATATTAGTAATTAATACCTAATTCAGAAAGAGTATTTAATATAGGTTAAATGTACAGTATTCTGTGTTTTTACATACTAGTAATAAACAATTAAAAATTGAAATTTTAAAATAATAAAAATTGAAATAACACCCAAACTCTACTAATACATAAAAATTATTCTACAGAACATTAGAGAAATTTTGAGAAGGCCTAATAATATATTTGGAATGTGACATTTTTCTAGAAATATAAAGGGCCAAAAATGAGATGGCAACATAGAAGAAAAAGTTGTACAAAAGCTTCATACTTCTCAAAAGCAAGGTTGATCATAAAGATTCAGTAATTGAAATACTGTATTATTTCTCCAAGAACAGATTGCAGACTCATAGAACAAAACATTGAAAAGAGAACAAGACCATAAACATACCTATACATCTTTGTTTGATTCACACAATAGGTACACAGCCTGTACATAACTGTGAGGTAGAAAAGAGATGATTTTTCAATGACTGGCTCTGGGTCAAAAGTGGAAATGCAAAAAATATGAACTTTGATTCACAAATGTACTGAGAGGGATAAAAATAAATCCTCTATATGTTCATCTAGGTTAATTTGTTGCTGATCTTTTCTACAGAGCATACAAAAAAGCTCAATTTTGGAGGAAAAGGTGGATAAGTTGGACTGTGTTAAAATTAAAAACTTCTTTGCAACAACAAAAAAAATCATAGACAGTAAAAATTAAGACACATGATAGAAAATGATATCCGAAATACCCATATCTAACAAAGGAACTGGATTCATAATGCGTAAGTAACTCCTATATGTCACTAAAAAAAAAAAAACCAAGAATGGACAAGTATCTTGAATAGATTCTTCACAAATGAAGAGATTGAAATGTCCCTTACACACAGGAAAATAATGTCATTGTTCATTTGGAAAAGCAAATTAATATTGTAATAAGATACTACTCCATACTCTTCAAAGTGGTTAAAGGCAATTCAAAGTGATGGTAAGATGTGAAATAACTGGATCTCCCATTCTCTGATGATAACACTGCCCATGGGTACAACTAGTTTGAAAAACTGGGACTAGCAACTAAAGCTGGATTATATGCAACCCCACATGACACAGCAGGCTCAAAAGTATGAAACTTTTGTATTTTTTTCTTCTATATTGCCATCTCATTTTTGGCCCTTTATATTTCTAGAAAAATGTCACATTCCAAATATATTTTTAGGCCTTCTCAAAATTTCTCTAATGTTCTGTAGAATAATTTTTATGTGTTAGAAGAGTTTGGGTGCTATTTCAATTTGTATTATTTTAAAATTTCAATTTCTAGTTGTTTATTACTAATATACTCTTATATAAAAAAATGCACTTATGTGTACCAGAAGACATGTGTTAAAGTGTTCATTGACTCATTCTTTGTTAAAACTGGAAATAAATATCCTTCAAGAATATATAGGAATATGTAAATATACACGAGAATAATAAATGTCATTAGTAAGTAGCAACTATGTATAATTTCATGGATGGCTTTTATAAATATTATTGAAATTAGTTAGATATAAAAAGAATATCTAATAAAGGAAGCAATTATATGGAATTAAAATACAACTATAATCTAGAATGTCAGAAAAAATACAAATTGTTAGAAATCAGATAAATGTCCTATTTGAATTGGTTACCAGGTCAGAGAGGACACTTTTGGGGCTGCTCATTGACTTCTATTTCTTGACTATGTAGTAGCCATGTGGATGTTTCCCTCTGTAAAACTCCATTGAGCTCTAAGAATTTGTTGAGTTACTAATGATTTGAACAACACATATGTTGTACTTCAAAAAATTTACCTTTAGCAAAACTAAAAGATTTATTTCTTCATGTTTCCCAATTTGGATAATGTCCTTTTTGTTGTTGTTGTTCTGGAAATTTACCCAGAGGTGCTTTATCACTTCAGCTACATCCACGTCCCTTTTGTTTGTTGGTTGTTGGTTTTATATTTTGAGACAGGATCTCACTAAGTTGCTGAGGCTGGCCTTGAACTCATGATCCTCTAAGCCTCCAGAGCCGCAGGGATTACAGGCATATGCCACCACATCCAGCTAGATCATATGAGTTTTTAAGATGTACTTTATTTTGAATTTAGTATTTTATTTATTTATTCAATACATATTTATAGAACATCTGAAATTTATGGAATTTCCCCTCTTTAGTAAACATCCTTTTAAACGTATTTTTAATGACTGCATTTTTACATCAAAATACGGATGATTTTATAACTTATTTGCTTTTTTTTTTTTAACTACTGAGTATTTGCCTGGTATACAATTCTATAGTATCATAAGTAGTACTGAAAAGAATATCCTTGTACTTAAATTTGGACAGTTCTTAAAAATAACCACCTACATTTACTGGGTCTAAGAGATATAAGCCTTTTCTCCCCCACCCCCAGATTGTTGTACAAACAATGTGTAACAAAAAGATCCCAGAAAAAAAGGAGTCAGGACTCCTCATTATATGCAAACAAAATTATCTCAGACTTCTAACCCTTAAGTTTGGATTGCAATATTATTTTAATTATATATAGTTCATCATGGGACAGCCATAGTACAAGTGACAAATTCTGAAGAAAGAACATGGATTGTAGGAAAACCAGACTCATTTTAATTTTAAACTTGCCATTTGCTGCCCATTTGACTTGGCGATTTCAAACAACGGAGCCCTAGTTTCCACCTATGTGTGAGAAGATAATAATAAATAACACATGCAATTGCTTTGAACACAAAGGATATTATATATACAAAGAGACCAACACAGTATCTGACACAGCCGTTACTCAATCAATGAATTATTTCCCCATTTCAATCATGATATGCTTTCAATTATCCACAGTAATGTAGGTCAAATGGTATAGATAATTCTAAAACTTTTTATCACACCAGACTTTTTATTGCTGATGATAAAATACAAAGAGGCTGATTTATTTCAGTTTCTCCACCTATTCCTGCCCTCCTAGCCTAAGTAAGGAGACTGAATAGCATACAGACCGAAGAACCAATCTATAAATAATTAAGAGCTGGTCTTAGGTCTTATTTCATGCCCCCAAACCTGAATCATTATGAAATTAAAAGCCCCTTTGCAAGTTGTGTTTTCATTTGGCCTTTAATAAGTAACTTTCAGATGTCTAACGTTTTTTATTATTATTATTTTAAAGAGCCTTTAAGAATCATATCAGAGGTTAGGAAAAGGTTCTACTTAACAATATTTTTTTTCCATGTGAATACTATCGTTAAGACAATAACCACTGATCACCTTTTAATGATACTTCAAAGTTGCTTGAATATTTTTTAA